AATTGAACGTTACCGTGGATCTGCACAACCAAATATTTTGTTTGCGAGTGCGTCCGAAGCTTCCGCTGAATTGAGGTGAAAGTCATAATACATTTTTTTTTTCTTTTACAGACGTTTGCCGTGAAGTTCACTCTCGCGGGATCCAGACGGGGACAAAGAAGACATTTTATTTTTATTTATTCTATATACGTTAAAATTAATAGATTTATTTTTATTTCAACCTGTGTTTTACTGAGTCTATCGCCTCGAAAGAGCTACCCGTCACAATATGCCATGCTTTAGATGTGGTAGAAAACATTATTCATCAAAATGTCCAGCCAAAGTGTCAGTATCTTTATGGTCGCACATTTACGCTGATTACGGATCATCAGCCATTACAGTTTATCTTTGGCAAAAATAAAGAAATTCCAATTTCAGCGGCTGCAAGAATTATATCACTCTGGCGGGTTATCAATACAATATTCAGTATAAAAATTGTCAGCAATTAATAATGTTGATGGTTTATCAAGATTACTCTGTGGTAAACATACAAGATTAAAATTACAGATCGTTTCTATTCTTTCATCCTATGGAAAGAGTAGCAATCGATATTGCAGGTCCACTGCCAGAGATAAATGATGGAAATAAATATATCCTGGTAGACATGGATTATTTAACGAAATGGACTGAGGCCTTCTTCTTCTTTAAATTCCATCTTCTATCGAAGGTTGGAAATCATCATGGCTATGCGAACTCTGTTGACTGCCGCTCTAAAAAGTTCTGTACTACTACATTCAAACCATTCCTTTAAGTTCTTAAGCCAGGATATTCTTCGTCTTCCCACATTTCGCTTTCCTTGGATTTTGCCTTGGATAATAAGTTGTAATAATGCATATTTTTGCCCTCTCATCACATGTCCTAAGTACTCAAGTGTTCGTCTTTTGATAGTTAGGTAATATTATTTCCGCCTCATTTCCTATCCTTCTAGTTACTTCCACATTTGACATTCTTTGAATCCATGATATTCGTAGGATTCTTCTGTAACACCAAAATTCAAACGCTTGAAACTTGTCCACGCTTCCAAGCCATAAAAAAGAGTAGAGAACATGTAACATCGAAGCATTCTTAGACGTAGTTCTAACCTAATATCCCGACAACAAAGAAACTTTTTAAGTTTAATGAATAATGCACGTGCTATTTCAATACGTGTCTTAATTTATTTGGTTTGGTCTACAACTGATGTTATCCATGTTCCTAATTATTTATAGTTATTAACACTCTCAATTGCAGTACCTTCAATACACAATTGGATATTTGCATCTGCAGATTTAGTCATGATCATGCATTTAGTTTTCTTTAAATTTATCTTCAGTCCGTACTCATAACAGCGTTCATTAAAGAGTTGTATTACGTTCTATAAATCATTGTTGTTATCCGTCATTATTACTATATCGTCTGCAAAACGTAAGTTATTCAAAACTTCTCCATTAATAGATATACCTTCTATCGGTCTGAGAGCGCTTCTTGAAATACCACTTCACTGTAGACATTGAAAAGTAGTGGGGACCACCAGGGACCGCAACCCTGGTGGACTCCTCTCTGTATTTTGATATTTTGGGTTGAAGCTTGAAGAAGCTGCTACCGTTGCAGAGGTACTTGTTAAATAATTCTTTAGCCGATTTGGTGTTCCCTTGAAGATCCACTCCGACCAAGGGCGAAACTTCGAGTCAACCCTTTTCCAAAACGTTTTTAAATTGATTGATGTCAATAAAACCAGAACGACACCCCTGCATCCTCAATCAGATGGAATGGTCGAGAGAATGACCCGAACGTTGGGTAAACACCTGTCCAAAGTTGTATCAGAACATCAAAGAGATTGGGACCAGCACATTCATTTATTCCTAATGGCCTACCGCTCGGCCGTGAATGAAACTACAGGCCAGACTCCAACCTGGCCTCCTCGTTTCCTCCTGGTTCGTTTGCCCTGCCACCTAGTGTTTGGCTGCAGACCTTCCGAAGAACATGTTGCACGCGAAGATTATGTCGACCGCCTGAAGTTAAGAATAAACAATATTCATGAGCAGTTAGCCAGACAACACATCCAGTTAGCCAGTGAGAGAATGAAAGATCAATATGATTCTCGATGAAAGAATGAAAGTTATGAAGTAGGTGATCTTGTCTGGCTTTATTATTCACAACGTCGTCAAGGCTTGTCTCCTAAATTGCAAAGACAATGGAAAGGTCCGTATGAAATTAAAAAAAGAATAAATGACATAATATACATACGAAGAAGTTGCCGAAAGCTAAAAGAAAAGTAGTTCACATAAATCGTCTTGTATACAGTTGCGGTCACGGAATAGTTTACACCTTACTTTTTATATTGTAATATTGTAAAATTGCAGTGTCGTACGGATTTGATAAATGTCAAAGTCAAAAAATTTCAAAACGTCAATGCTTTCGCGAGTGTTCAACAATAAAATAAAAGTATATTAAACTCTTCCAAAATGGTTAGAATACATTTGAATTATGCGCAAAAAGCAAGAGCAATTGCCAAACTCGAAGAAGGTTGGTCACTAAGGCAAGTTGCTGCTGATTTGAACGTGAGTCATATGTGCATATGGAAGATTAAACAAAGATGGGATAATTTTCACTCTATAGCACGGTTGGGCGGTTCAGGAGGGCAGAAGATTTCCACAGATCAACAGGATGAGATGTTAGTAGATTATTTGAGAGAATCTCCTTTTGCCACAGCTCAAAAGGCAAGAGAAGAGGCAGCGTTTCCAGGCAGTATTCGCACTGCACGTCGAAGAATTAAAGCAAGTGGACTGCTAAATTGTGTAGCTGCACGGAAACCTTTTTTGACTGAGGATCACAAGAGGAGACGAGTTGAATTTTGTAATGAATTTATAAACCGCGATGAGAATTTTTGGTCTAGGGTTGTATTTTCCGATGAAAAAGTATTTCAGTCGTATAATAATGGTCGAATAAGAGTTTATAGGCCGAGAAATCATAGGTATGATGAACAGTATACGCATCATTTAAGAAATAGTGGAGGATTCTCTGTCAACGTATGGGGATGGATAAGTGCCGAAGGCCCGGGCGTTTGTTATCATGTAGAGGAGAAGTTAACAGGATTATATTACAAACATATTATTGAGCACACAATGTTGCCATCGGTGATCCAGAGATTCCCCAACAACGACTTTATCTTCCAACATGACAATTGCCCGGTGCATACGAGTAGAATTGTTCGAGAATGGCTAGAAGAAACTGATGTTAATGTTCTTCCGTGGCCTTCCCGTAGTGCAGACTTTAACCCCGTCGAAAATGTGTGGGCAGAGTTAACAAAGAAACTAAATGAAAGAAACCTTAGACCACGGAATAGAATTGAATTATGAGAAGCAATTGAGCAGGCATGGGAAGAGCTTGTTAACTATAACATGAGGGGATTGGTGCTATCTATGAACAGAAGACTGCAAAATTGTATTGACAAGAATGGGGCTTCCACCAAATATTAATTATTATTTATCATTGTTTATCGTTATTTAATATAAAATAGATTTAAAATAAAATGCATATTAAAAAAAAAGACTTCTTTATTTTCGTTATTAAGATCATAATCCATTTTATTCAAAAAACTGTTTTCTATATTTTTCATTTTGTAAAATATTTTGATATTTTAATTTTAATCTACCTATTCTAGCTAGTACACCACTGGCAATGTCACTTTGACGTAATAGGTGCGTTTAAACGAAGTAAAAATTTAAAAAATGGGCTCCTAGATACGTGAACCTGTAAACTATTCCGTGACCGCAACTGTACCTTATGCTGACTCAAATGAAACAGAAGAAGCACGAACCCTTTAACATGAGATCAAAGATGACCGGCGATCAAGCTTTAATGAATTTATATCAAATTATGCAGAAAGAAAGAGTGCTAGATTCGGCATGAGGACAGAACTTCAGCAGGATCTTCGTAGTGTTCCGCATAACGTTTCTCTAGCTCACTGTTTTGTCCAAGATATTGAGATGACTAAAGGAATCTCATCTGTATTTTATAAGAAGTTCGGTCGTTTGGACGAGTTAAAAAACCAGCAGCCTTAAGTTGGAAGAGTACTGAGATTAGAAGATGGTTCTCGATCTTTGCTGTATATGGTAACTATGAAGTCATATAAAGACAGGGCAAGCTACGAGGATATATGACGTGCTCTAACTAATTTAAAGAAAATCGTGTGCAATTATGACATCAAGAATTTGGCCTTACCCAAGATAGGCCATGCACTAGAAAATCTGGATTGGAAGATTGTCAGAAGCATGCTTGAAGTGATCTTCCGAGTAACCCGCGTACCAATTACTGTGTGTTGTATTAACCAGAAGAGATCGTGTCCTTCAAAGTCTGTAGATTGTTATTTCTTCTTGAGGGGTTCATTCAGAGCTGGAGAGTTCTGTAGATTGCGCCATCTAGGGCCTACATCTGGAGTTGCTGATCGGGATGCTCAGATCTAAGACGGGAGCAGTGTAACGAAATAGCCCATCTCCGATACATGGTATGTGTCATAATTCGTAAAAGGATAAATCTAGAAAATTCGAAGAGTTGGCATTTCAATAGCGCACGTCTTTGATGCGCTTTCGATGAGACGAATTAGAGGTGGGCTACTCTAAAATGTTCTAGTACATAATAACTTTATATATATATATATATATATATATATATATATATATAAGCATACCTTCTATGAGCTACTGCATCGGAACAGTAGATACTTCGGAAAAATTGGACAGGCTTGGGTGAGGTTATGGCATGTTGATGAATAACTCAGAATGTCCACGTTGCTTGCGTGGACATTTATTGAATTTAAAGACCATTAATTGAATTATTTATAACCGTTTTATAAGTAAATAAATAGTTTTGTTAGTCTGCGCATCATTAAATACACAACAATTAGCATAGCATGGCAGAAGTAAAACTTGTCGGCCCATGTGGCCAGAATGAATGACGGGCGGTGCACTCAAAAAATTACAATGTGGAGACTACGAGCTGACAGAAAAATTAGAGTTAGACCACCTACAGAATGGGCAGACGACGTTAAAAGAATCGCTGGGAAATGGCTGCAGAAAGCCTAAGACCGACAGAACTAGAAGAAATTTAGGAGAGGCCTACGTCTAACTTTGAACGCAGAAGGCTGGATGATGATGATGATGGTGATGTTCAAAAGCGCCTCAGGGTTTTACCATATCGAAAGTGTTTCGTAATCGATGAAAGCCACATAAATAACTTTACGGTGGTCGTGGCATTTTGGGAGGACCGCATTTAAGTCAAAAAGTATCTCACGGATACACAGCGCATTCATAAATCCAAACTGGGTTTCATCTAGATCTCTATCGTAAAAACTTATTATTCTTCCATGAATAATGCGAAGAAAACTTTACAATATGTTGCTAATCAAATTAATTAATCTGTATTTGATGCTCCTTTTTCTGCTGCAGAAAACAGACTTTAGCTATTCCTCGTTAAAAAGCTTAACTAGAGCACTGAGGTGGTCCTCATATTATTTTTAAGAGTTCAGTTGGGATTTTTCTGGTCTAGTTGTTTTCTTCGTTTTGATTGATTTTATTGTATGTATTTTATTGTAAGAACTTAAAATTTAAGGTCCTTGATTTACATTGCTCTGTATGTTTCGCCTGTCATCTTGAAATAATTTAGTTATATTGATACACCATGTTTCAAATATTCCTCATTCATCCATGATAACTGTTTGAACTTTATCTACTGGAGTACCTATTAGTGTTCTTCTTATTATAAGCCAGCAACTTCACGAAACATTATTTTACATATTAAACATGTCAGTTTTCTTTTCTAATTTCTTAGTTTTTAGCATCTCTCTACCATCCACTTTTCCTTGGCCGCTCGTATTTATTTCTCTTATATATTTAGTCATCCATTGTTGTTTCTTGAATCTATTAGTTCATCACTTTTTTCTATTACCTTGGTCATATGTTCACCAAATAATTTTCATGTCTTCTCAAGATTTTTTGTTGTTATCATTTTCATTTTTACTTTTGTTAACATCTAAAATAGAAAAATTCTTTTGATGATGTTTTTCTCTATTCGTTTTAGCCTGACTCTTGCATCGGTCACTAAAGGGTTGTGACTAGATCCAACATATGCTCCAGGGTATGTCGTCACTATACTGATAGTTCCTAAATATTTTATTGATAAAGATGTAAGAAACAGATAGGTATGAAAAAACAATCCAATTAGTGTTACTGTTTCTCTGTCCTTTGCGTTTGTCAGCCTCTCATATTTTTTCATTACTGTCATCCGGAGAGCCGACGTAGGGGATTGAAGCAGAAAAGCTCATTTGCCCTTCTGGCAACAGGTCATATGCACAATATTGTGGTATATTAATTAGATCCTATGGGTTGTATATATTCTATTCTTGAGGTCGCATTGTACCTACTTATAGATAACAGAATCGTAAGGCATCTGCTTAAACACTTCCAGTGGAACGGACAGGTCAATAAACAACTTCATAAGAAGTGGTGAAAATTGAATGATACTTTATCTAACTGGCTAGGTACTAGGAGCTTGCTTGGGATTTGAAAGATTGGCCAGGGTGGCGGTGGAAAATCCAGAATTAAGAATGTCATCCACTACAGCAATGTGTTTATGTGTATTACTGACAACGAAAATCAAATTAAACAACGTAGGTAGGTAGGTACAATATAGTCGAAAGATTCGCCGTGAAATATCGAAAATGATAGATGAGATTTTACCAAAGAGTTTTTAAATCTTACGAGTAACACTAGTAAATTTTTAATTACCAGTCAAATCAGTTTTTTGGCCCATTCAAATCCAAAATTGATCAAAAATAGTATGTTTACTTCATATGAAGTGATGTCGCAAGGCTCAACGCTGGAATATTGTATAATTCAATTTTAGAATATAATAAATTCTCCTGAAGCACAACCTTAGATAAGAAACATCCCCCTAGTAAGTAGGCAACCAAGAATTACGTCAAAACATTAACAAAAACCTAAAAAAGAAAAATTATGTATTATTATTATCAATTGATTGATTGAGACATGTTCAATGATTGGTTTTGTACTATTTTTGAATTAACTTCCTCAGGAAGTTTTTACTATTTATAACTATTTATAGATTTTTAATTGTTTCCAATTGCTAAATATGTATGTACCTATAGTTTGCCAATTTATTCCAAGATGCATTTTTTATAAGTATTACAGATTGACAAAAAATGTTTATCTAGTTAGTTGATAAGTAAATACATACAAGAAAGTAGTAAAAACACGATTACAAACTAATTTAATTTCAATTATTTCTGCTATAATGCATACTAACAGCTCCTAAAACTAAACAACCAACGATACTATATGCTGCATAGTTAGTTTTTTACCTTTAATTCTAATTTAAAAATTATTTGTCTCAATAATTTTCTATTCAATGTCTTAGTCAGGTGTGGTTTATTTGCTTGTATTTTAAGATTTTTGCCACTATTTCTGCTCTATTAAAAGCCTGATGTCTAAAAGTAACCTATCCGAAGAAAATGTATAACCTTATAACCATAGAAAAATAATTGCTTATAACTAGGAGGCATAAGTGGTTTACTACATTTTAATCCAGTTTTTGTTTTCTATGTTCTGTCAACAGTTTTAATTTTCAGGATTTATACCCTAGTAATTACTAAATGTAGACAACCAACTACACCCTTTAGTGTAAGTTAACTACTTTTATCATTCGCTTTGCAGTTTTCCCTTATTTTCTGTTTACTATTAATTATGCATATTCTCCATTCGCTTAGCTCGGGCATATTTTGACAGATTCATTGTCGGATACCTACAACACAAAAATTCCTACTTCTCAGTATTAATAGCTCAAATATACTACTATTGCAGACTTCTTCCTTTTAAAAAAAGAAGAATTATTCCAAATAGTGGAAGTGTATACTAAACCCATAAAATTTTCCCCGTATATTTAAAATGTAATATTTGAGTTGTTACAATTGAACATATTGTAGTAAATATTTGTATTATTCGCGTTGTTTATTTTAGCTAATATAGTTTTATCGTTCCATTATTTTTGTTTAATTGTTTGTTAGTTCTATTTGGTTATATTTTGAATTTTATTATTAGAGATAATCAAAGTTTTCCATTTGTTCTATAAGATAATGCGTTGGTAAGTTTTTCTTAAATAAATATAAATATGATAAATGTTCTTTAAAAGTTAATATTTTTAGATCAGTAAGGATGCTGTTAAATTACGAGGTAATCAAACTGCACAAAGATTTATTCAAAACACCAACCATTTTTGTTTAATTATTTGCCCATTCGGCGTAGGTGGATCATTAAAATACATTTATAAAATTATGTAAATATGTTCTTAATAACAAAAACATCCAGTTCAGTTTGACATGGCGTCAAAAATTAAATAAAAGTTACAGTAATTTATACTCTGTTTTTTAACCAGGAGGAGTAAACTAAAAAGACAGATTCACACTCAAGAAAGTTACTAGAAAAGTCACCAAATACATCTTCTTTTTTTGTTGATTATCTCGACCTTGCGGTAATCGAGTAATCAATATGGGATACCCTCACACGTCAATTCTAACCTAACTTCGTTTATTTATGTTTGAATAATAAAATAATTTTTTTTCAATTCACTTCCAATATATATTACAATTATTACAATAAAAAAATGACGGTTTTCACATTTGGTCCCATGTATATATATTTAAATATCGGGTGTCCAGTTTTATAGATCTCTTAAGTCTATGGTATTTAATTATAGTTTAGAGAATATTTTGATCGGGAGAGTCAATAATGTTACAGATCTAAGTATGATTTTTCTCAGAAATTTGTCTTTTAATAGTAGACCATATTCTTATTCTGGTATGATTAATTTCTTGAATCTAGTTTTTTTTCTTACCAGATACTTTGTATAAATAAGTGTGTACTTACAATGTCTTTAATGCTGGATTCTTGTTTAGTTTTGACAGTGAGTTTGTCCCATTTGTTATCAACAAATAAAATTTACTAAAAATACTGGATTTCTGTGAGATAATCAACAAATCCAATCTATCATGTTACATTCTTGCATAATTTTGCAGTTTTCTTGTGATGATCTACAACCAGGAAGACCAAACCAACTGTATCATACAATCAAACTAAAACACAACATTACTTTACTAATGTTCTTTTATTGTGATGAAAACAAAATGGAAATGCTTCTTAACAAGTATACACTAAATTTAAAAGATGGTTGCCGTTTTTCTTATGATAATTAGATATAAATAACATACATTTATAAATTTAAAATCACTTTAAACTATATTTAATATAAATATCATCTAGAAAAATATCACATTAAATACTATTCGCATATCACCAAGTCCAAGTTATTACAAATAATTTAAACAGTCAGAAATCGATTTATATATTAGAGGAAAATAATAATAACAAATAAATTTCACAAATGTCATTAGTGTCAATATGTCATAATTTAATGGAGTAAACTTGCCTGCGGTTGGACTAATTGCAAACAAGCATTACGGTGCGGAAAATTTGAATTACTCCTCCTGGTTAAAAAACAGACCATAGATCTTTGAAAAACTATATTTTTTTGTTTTTAGAAATATGACAGGGGTAGAGTATGTTCTTTTACATGTTCAAGAACCGATTTTGTATGTAATTCGAAAGCAGCACAGAAAAAGTCCTCAGCAGATTATTATATTATTGCTGGTATTGTCTATCAGGCTCCTGATCTAGCAAGTGTTTTGAACTTCAGACTGGTAATATATTTTTTAAATAACACGATATGTCATTGTATGTTCCTACAGAAGTCGTCTACTATTTAGAAAACAAGTTTAATCAGATATTTTTCTTTCAGTTATCTGCTGTACACTATCTGCAATCATCCTTTGAGGAATCTTCGGGTTTTGCCAAGTATCATCCCAGTAAAGGCTATTCTTGGGATTTTAAATCTCAGCGAGCAGCTGAAAAAGTAAAAAAAGATGAAAAGCCAAGGGAGGAACCTAATTCGTTATTTCAAAGACAAAGGGTTGATATGTTACTAGGAGAATTGATAAGAAAATTTCCCTTACCTGCTCCCCCTCAGCCTAAAATTGCACCAGTTCCACAAATTAAACAAGAACCTGACAATGGAGCTCCCGAGAATAAGGAGATCAAAAAGGAGGTAAAGCAGGGGAAAATCAAACCACCACCCGAGAAGAAACCAAGATTACATTGGATTGTTTTATGTATATCCTTCAGAACGATAAATTTTCAACATCCTGTGACCAAGGCACACAATTGGTATATTTTATTGGTTGATTTTTCTACTATTTGTTAGTTTTTGTATATTTTAGCTATTGCTCACTCTCATCTTCCCTTATTTTATCCCTCTATCATTTATATGGCATTAATTTGCTTTTTATGCAAGAATTATCATTTCAACTTTATTTTTTCCAATATAAGACATAATCATTTAAATATGTATGGTTTTGTCTATCTTACTGTTTTTATCACTTTCTTTGTATAGTAGAACTATCAAGCAAAAAGACAAAAGAGGAAATTATGAAAAGGAGACCAAACTTCATAAAAGTGGCCTCTTAATATGGCTGACATATCTGGAAATGCAAAAGTGCCAAATTTAAGACTATGTTCCAATATTATTATAAGCACCATATTCCTAACACTTAAAATACTAACTCTAAAGCATAGAAAAGTTTTGATTAAATAATGATAATAGTCTAAAATGTGACACAATTATTAAAAAACTTTAATATAAATACGCTTTCATATGACAGTTGGGACAAACAATAACATAACCCAACTAAATTTGATTTCTTAAACAAGGAAAGACTCTCTTTCCTTGTTTAATGTGGTCTCTCAAAATGGCACTTTCTATCTAACAACATTTTTGCCCCCACTACCTTTACATTACCTCTTTTATCTTTTTGCTAGATGAGTAGAAGGCTCCTTAACTTTGTATGAATCCATAAGGTCATTTAAATATAATTTTAATTCTTTTTTAGAACTGATATTAAACATTTATACGGCATATATAAAAACATTTAGTGTAGTTTATATACATTTAAAGAGACTTTAATAAATTTATGTAAGGAAACTGTTACTTTCAGCATTTTAGACATGTTTACTCATATTAACTAACGATGAGTTCTTTTTGTAAGTAATATAAAGTATTTATTATCGATTTGTGCATTTTTTCATCAGTCTTTCTTATCCTTACCATTGTTTGTTGATATTATTGAATAGACATCAAACAGAAGTCCTCATTATAGAGCCACCTCCCTCTTCCTCTACCCCCTCTACCTCAGGAAATCAACATGCTCAACCAAAATCATTTAATTATACCATTAAACACATCCCTCTGAAGAAGTCCACACAACGTGACTTCTTCAGTGTCATCAACACCGAGAGCTTTTGCTAAATCAAGTCTCAACGGTAAAAGTAATACCAACCCAAATCGCTCACCTCACAACTATCCTCTCCACCAACGTCGAGCTACAATGCAAGGTCGGTGAAACACTGTGCGATCTTAAAATCCAGATCACCTCCAAACACGTACCCACACCCAGAAACCGTACCCACCCTACCACCCCATATGGCCCATATACATGGTGGTCGTCAAAGGTTTAGATAAAGTCTACTCCGATCTAAAGTCTACTACTTACAAAAACTTTTTCAGAGATGGATGTCCCTGTAGTTCGGCTACAATGGGTTATATCTCGTGCCAATCTCCCTACCTCTTTTGTCAAACTGGTCACCTCAAGTGAATTAAAACACAGAGATGCTGACCAAGGGCATTTTCATGGACGAACTCCCTCTGAGCTCCCCCTAAATTCCAACCCTGTGCCTAAGTATTGTGGCAAGTGCTGTCAAAACGAGAAACAGTGCAGGTACCCATGCCTCCGCAGAAAGGAACTCCCAAAATCCCTCCAAGAATTACCACTGAAAGAAGAATTTCCCCCTATGAACTGACTTCGGACATGAAGGCAGTCATGGAGTTTACCTCCTTTATCCTCATAAACCTCCTCTGTGATAGGCGACATCTCATTCTAGATGTCACCAATCAACTTTCATCTCTGATGTTCGGCCACAAGAGCACTCTTGTGGCACACAACAACAGAGCCTCCATCTCCTTCCTGCCCAATTTACAATATTGACTAACTAACCCTCAATACACACACCCTCAACACAAAGACTTTGTTCTACGCAGATGATACAGCTCTCGTAACAACATCACGAGACGTAGATTCAGTACTTAGGTTTGCTCAAAATCACCTTAACCTGGTCGACAGCTGATGTAGGAGATGGAGAGTAACACCTTACCCATAAACATAAAACACAAATGATTCTCTTCAGACATCAATATCTCAGCAGATACGTCACACCCAGCATATCCGAAAGACACAACCTTAGAGTCTGGGGGGACCGACTAGTGCTCCGCGACCGGATCGAGTACCTCGGTGTGGTGTTTACACAAACACTGAACTGAAGGACCGATCTGGACATAGCCTGTAACAAGGCTAGGTGCAGACTCGGTCTACTTAATGCTCATGGTGGTAAATTCGGAAGAACACACCCACGCTCACTCATACACACATATAAAACATTTATTAGGCCGGAGTATAGATTCAATATCTATATTACGATGCGCTGCCATCTTACACAAAAACTGCTTGCATTGGAGAGGAGAATCCTGCGTAGAGTGAATAACAAGCGCCGCAACTACCCCTTCGCCCATATTCATCACCTGTCGAATATTCAGCCCATCGATGAGAGGCTCTCCTCTCTGAGCATGAGATACACAACCAAAACCATTCGACCAAAACTACAGAGCCCAAAACATTTTGAAAACTACCTGCTCATCCATCGGCAATATATTCAGAAGAAAACCTAAACCTAAATTCCCCTTCCTACCCGCAATACTGCTGGTCCTTGCCAGTAACGAGCTCTCTGATGAATACATTGATATCCAAGAGGCAACTTCCTCTATTATCATCGTCGCAATAACTTTCAAATGCTCACTTCGAGCTTGACTAGACAGGGAGGGATCGGTTTTCTGTGGTTTTTCGATCCCATTGCACAATGATACCTGTCTATTGCAGAGGATACAGCCACAGCTGCCCTTTCAACAACAACAACCCTTTCGCCTCTAATTGTCCAGTACGCTCCTTCGACGATAAGCAAATCACCAGTAGAATCCACGAAGCCAGCGAAAGAAAAAACAACACCCAACAATAAACAAACCACGTCCTGAAGAGGTGGAAAACCTAAAATAGGACACCAACAAATCAGACAAAGAATCCATCCACAGAGAAGAAACAACTAGACAATGAGTTGTGAAATATCAGATAAGCGTTCAACCCGATTCAGTACAAACCTGTACCACCAATTGACAAATACTAGACGTAGATAAAGGTTATAAATAGCGTACCTTTGGGGGACCCCTCAGTTAACGGCCAGTCCCAGTCAGGAAAACAGCTCTTATAAATGTCGCTTCGCCTCTGAGAATATATACTGCTGGCACACGGGAAACATCAGGTTTGTGGTGAGTTTTTAAAACATTTTATGACTGTATATAATATATAAATAATTCTTAGCGAAATATCAAGTATGCGTTCTGTTATTTTTTATTATTTAAATTAATGTGTTTCGACTGTAGTAGCCGAATAAGCTTTAAATAAGAACTTATGACTAAATACATGTTTGATCTCTAAGTTATACATTAAAGGTAAAGTAAATGGAAAACAAGGGGTCATATTCTGTTAAATAAGTGAATGTCTTTCAAGAAACCAATTTGGTTAAAGACTTGTTCGGGTGAGTTTAAAATTTCTTCTTCTTCTTCTTCCTTCTAGTATGTAGACTTTAAAGCCTGTTTTTTCTTCAATATTAGCCACCTAAATTGTTTAAATTGTCGCACCATCTTTTTCTTGGTCTGCCAATACTTCTTCGTCCATTTGGTGACTTGTACTATTCGTACTATTCTATCCTCTGCCATTCTACTGATGTGTTCGTTCCACTCCTGTTTTCGTTTTGTCACCCATCCATTTATGTCTTCTATATTGCATGTTCTTCTTATGTTTTCGCTTTTCTCCCTATCCAACAGAGTTCTCCCTGATATTCGTCGGAGTATTTTCATCTCTGTTGTTTCTAGCAGTCGTCTCGTTTTAGATGTGTCAGGTCTTGTCTCCGCCATGTATGTTAATATAGGTCTAATTACTGCTGTATAGATTCTTGTTTTTGTGTCTTGTCTTAGGTGTTTGTTCTTCCAGATTATGTCATTAAGAGATCCCGCCGCTTTACTTGCTTTTAAGCTTTGTTGTCGTACTTCTTCGGCATCTCCGTAACTAGTTATATCTATTCCCAGACATCTAAACCTTGCTTCCTGCTTTATTATTTTCCCATCAATTTCGGTTTTACGTAGTGGGTATTTAGATGTTGTCATACATTTGGTTCTTTTTGCTAATATTGTCATATTGTATTTCTTAGCTGTTGTACTGAAGATATGTTAAGTTCGGAGCTTCTTGATAAAGATTATTGATTGTGAGAATAAAGGAGGCGGTTAATTTAGACTGATCGGGTTCGTTTTTCTTGCATTATTTTGCTTTTTTATGTCTTTTATGGATATATTAGTAGATGTGTTAGTTTATTGAGAGTTTAAATCGCTAAAATAAAAACGAGTTTGTTTCTGATCAGTGGTAGGACAAAGAAATTCATTCCTTGTGACAATAGAAGTGTTGGAGATATCAACAGTATTAGTTTGTTGATTGGGAACCGTATTTTTTATTTTGTGGTAGGTACCGAGTAGTACCGAGTTTTGTGGTAGGTTATTGTTTGATGTTGGGGTAGCAGGGATGGGTTCAGCTGAGGACGTTTGTTTATTTGGGACAGGATTACTAGGGGGATTTTGACAATTATTTGCTGTATTCCTATATTTTTTTGCACAAAAGACATGCCGTTTTTTCAGTGAAAAAAATATCCTGTACGAATTATTGTAGAATGGAATTATTAATGAAATTTGAAGTTCGAAGCTACCTGTATACTTGCCTCCTGAGGCTCATAATATGTGCAAATTCATCACCGAAGATTCTGGCCTTTACATATGACACTGGTAAGGCAAGTTGAAGATCTAGATCTTCTAGGGTGTTTTTCTATAATTTCATGAGGTATTGATGGGCAGACGTTGGAAATTATGAATTTTTTGGCTGGAATTGCCAGTTTTCTAACGTGTAATTTAATAGAGTCAATTGTAATAGTAGGATATTCTGTTATAATATGTTCAACAAGTTTAGGACTTATTAAGTAGATGCATATCCTATTATTGGATATTCTTGAGGCGAAGCATATATTTTTTGGGCTAACAATGTTACCTATGGCTTTTACGTAGTCGAGCAGTAGTAAGTTTGATTCTGCATGTATTAATATTTCTTGATCGTTTTGGGATATTTTGGTTTGGGTTTTGACATAGTAGCAGTTGTATATGAATTTGAATTATTACTGGTGATGTTATTTTCAGACATGGTGTTGCAAACTGTAGGAGAACATTGATTTAAGCTGTAACTCATGTAGTCAAAAGTAATTACTTTTGGTTTTCTTTGGATAAAGTTTGGACTTCAAAAATAGGCAGCAATTGTAGTGCATATCTGTATTACTGGTTGTTTGGCTAAAACTTCATAGAGACCAATAAAGCAGGAGAAGGATCGAGAATGTAATAATTTTAAAAATAATTAATTAGGTATATCTAGTTAATATAAGATTACCGGTTTTGGTGGTTAATATTATTTAAATATGAGTGCCAAGAAAGTTTACTCCAGTAGAACTTCGTACCGGGATCTATTATGAGTTATCCTTCCGATAAAAACTTGAAAAGGGAAGATAACGAAGTTAATATAAGCCTTTTTAAAGCACCAAAGGTAAGTGGAGACTTATTTTTTGTTCTCATTTCCGTCTTAGTATGTTAAACAATGTTAAGACAATATTATATTTATAGAATATGGTGCTATTTTTGCCCTATAGAAAAATGTTTTGGATTTAACACGGAAATATGACTTTTTTATGAAGATTTGTCTTTATGTTATTTATAATGTTCATGGATTATTTTCGTCAGTGTAAATAAAATGTGTGTTTACCCATTATTGATGTTTTACCCAATATTAATTTTGTACAAACCAGACTGTTGCTATTAGTTAATTTACATGATACTTATTTTTAATAACTAAAATAAATTGTTCAAAGTAAAAAGGATTTAAAATTTTGATAAAGAGATTAATTCAAAAAAATTCGATTTTACACCGTAGTGAGTATTTAGATGTCATATATTTGGTTTTTTCTGCTGATATTGTCATATTCATTTCTTAACTGTTTTATTGAAGATATGTGTTAATCTTTGGAGCTCGTCTTCTGCCTCGACGATTAATGCGACATCGTCTGCATAACATAATATTTGGATTTCTTTGTTCCCCATTCTGTAGCCATGACCTTTACGTACTGCTTGTATTATTTCGTCCATCTTTATATTAAAGAGAAGTGGGCTTAACGAGTCACCCTGTTTGACTCCGCTTTGTACTGGTATACACTGTGTTAGTTTTCCATTTATTTTTGACTGTATTCGATTATGAAGGTAGATGTTTTCGATGGTTTGTATAATATTGATTGGTATGTTTCTTTTATACAGTAGGTGTAAGACGTCTTCGACTTGGATGCGATCGAAAGCCTTTGTCAGGTCTAGTACAGTACAGATACGGCGTCTACGCAGGACCTTCCGGATCTGAATCCTTGTTGTTCATCTGATAAAGTTGTTAGTTTATTTATTTTGTTGGTTAGGACTTTTGTGGTAAGCTTAAGTGCGTAGTTCAGTAGATTTATACCTCTATAATTGATGGGGTCTTCTTTATCTCCTTTCTTGAACATGGGTATCAGTAACCTGTTTCTCCATGCGTCTGGTATCTTACAGTGCAATATTAGTTTTTGTATAA